TATGTTTCCTTGATAAATCCACAACTTCCACCAAATTAACACTTTATGAAAGCCTGAGCTATCAAATACAGTGTATGTTATAAACTCTAAGTAGTTCTTAATTTTTTTTCAGTAATGTTAGACAAAAATTTCTTAGAGATATTTAGTAAATATTCTTATAAATTTGTACATCCCAATTTTAGTCTGTTAGTTAATCAGTTAATTTCTTTCTTTTTCTTTCCCTCCCTCCCTCTGTTCTTTCTTTTCTTTTCTCTCTCTCTCTCTCCCTCTCTCTCTCTCTCTCTCTCTCTCTTTTTCTTCCTGTGTATGGATATTTTGCCTGCATACACGTCTATGTACCATTTCTGTGCAATGCCTGCAGAGACCAGAGAGGGCACCAGATTCTCTAGCATTGGAGTTACAAATGGGTTTTAGCTACTGTGTAGGTAACAAGGTAACAAACCTTGGCATTTGGAAGAGCAGCTAGTGCTTAACTCCTTAGCCATTTCTTTTCATTTCTTCCATTTCTAATATCATCTCTAAGGTTCTGCTATTAAGGCAACATGTCTGTGGAACATTTGGGTACTTTTATAATAACTGTTAATATACTTTGATGTACTCAGTATTAACATATTTGATTAAAGATGTTAACTATAAAAACCTTATTGTCAAAAATCACTGCATAAATTTCCAATATGTGGAAATCTTTACTTACCCGTTCTATCTTATATGGTGCAACAATATTGTGTTCTTTAATAAAATATACCTGAAAAAGATAAGTCAACACTGAAATAATAACCACAAGTTTTCGCTATAAAAATTTCTATACTATGAATTCAATGTTTAAATTGTTATACGATCTCTATTTGCAAAGGTACCCATATTTATATTAGTATGGTTTTAAGGTACTGACATTTAAATAACAAATATTTCATTAAGAAGAGAATCATTAGTAAGTGGGGTTCAAGATGTCATGTGAATGTTACCATTTGTAATAAGTAGCCAATCAGGTAAGAGAAGGAAGCTTGTCAGTCTAGAAGCCAGTTTCCTAACAAATGGGAAAAGCAAAGGCATGGTGCTAGGATCCATTCAATGACATCAAGAGACACCTCCTCCCTTAAGGAGAGTTGGCACGTGATGTTTGCATGAGGTCACCGCTCCACCTGCACATTAATAACTGTGCAGTGTGAGCACCACCATCCGCCAGAGGGCACCAGCTGCCTGACTGTGGTTCCCTGCCCACCCCCACTCCTGGCAGAGCCTGGCCCCTCCCTGTGCGTCTTCACTAACTGCTCGTAGAACACCTAGAGAACCCTCTTCCATTTCATACAAGCCACAGGTAGCCACCCTGTTAGTCTCACGCCCTCCTCTGGTCATTTGTCTGACTTTTCTGTATTAAGACTTTTTGCCAGAGTATTTGTGACTTCTCTTGGGCCCATCACGGGCTTTTATCCCACTAAACTACAGAAGCCACTTCTCTGAGTCACAGGAGGCGCTCGAGACCTCCAGGCCAGCAAACCCCATGGCTAATTTTCAAGCCTCCTTGGTGTCCTTCTGGGAGTTGTGGCATAGCTGCAGAAACACTGTCCATGTGGCACACAGCACTCCTCCTCTCTGCTCCGCCTTGCCTCCCTTCTGGACCTGGTTTTCTTCCTAGTCTCCAACACTGGAAAGCCAGAGTCTTGCTTTCAGAACCCATCTGTTCATAATAACCAGTACTGGGGAAATGGTATCCAGCCCCAGGGCTTAAAAATTCATCAGAAATGCCAAGTCTCCAATGTGTCCTTCTGACTTCAGCTTCATGAACCTAGACAAGAACCCCCTGGCATCTTCCCATGTCTCTGGGAGGCCTATAGGCAGCCCATACCTCACATTCTCAATCAAGCTGCACCTCCCTGTCCGCGATCCCACCCTCACCTTTTACCTCAGTAAAAGCTAGCTGGAAGTCTTTCTGGATTTTTCTCTTTTATACACTGCAACTAAGTCATCAGCACACCGCCAGGCTCTTCTTCAGAATGTGTCAAGACAGTGACTAGCATTCACCACCCTGACCCAAAGCACCAGGGTTTCTGAATGCCTCTGGCTCTCCTGGCTCCACCTGTGACCCTCATCAGAAGCATTTCAAAGACATAGACATCAGGTCAGAGTCCTTTTCTTCTAGCTCCGCAGTGGTCTTTCACATTTGCCCTTCACTCTAAAGCCTTACTGTGGTTCGGAGGCCATCATAACAGTGTCCCTGCTCCTGCGCCAGCCTTCCTCTAGTGCTCTTATCTGAACCCGTGTCCTGACTTCACTCACCTCCTGCCTTTCATGATCACTGCCTGCTCACCTTGCTGGCAGTGGTCAAGTCGCTTTCTCTGTGAGCCTGTTCTAACCACTCTGTCTAAAGCAGCACAGAAGGGTTCCCTAATGTGCACCACACTTCTGTCCTGCTTTTATCTTCTTCATAACACTTACCAATAACTGACACTGGAGGACAGATTTGTTTCCACCTCCCCTGCTGAACACGTGTACGGTTTAAAACTACTATTTATACAAACAGACACAATATACACACAAACATGTTATTCCAATTGCAACAACAATAACGAAATTCTGAAAGCAAAACTCTGAACTAAACCCATTTCTGAGACTCGGGAAAAGTCTGGACATATGAAGCTTAAAATAATCCTTGAAAGAGTCGCTTGCATCTCGGTACCCCTTGATTTTGAATTAGTGCCATCTGAGATCTCTTCCTAAAACTATTTAAGAAGAAAGGATTCCGAGCTTTACTTCTGGAACCAAGTTACTAAAACTTTACTGAAATAGGTAGTTTTCTAAAGGAAACATTACTTTTAATTACTTCCTTGAAAGCTATGGATGGCCTGCAATGATGCTAATGAAGCTAATGATGTAATAAGAAATACACATATGAGCACACAGGACGAGGGTTAATGACAGTGCTCCCTCCACAGAGCACCAGATGATGGTCCCTGTTTGCACCTGGACATTAAATATAGAGTTGAAGATAGTTCATGACTCTTCTTTAAGAAAAATGAGGTTGAATAGAGTTCATTAATCTTTTCTTTTTTTTTTTAAATTAGAATTACAAAGGTACTAACAAAGTTACTTAATCTAAAAGTTCACGGATTTCATACGATAAATGTCAACACAGGTTAAACAGAGTTCTATGAACACAGGGTTCAGTTATTCCGACAGCAGGGGTCGCTCTCACCTCCCCCCCCACTCTACTCCCGCAGACAGATGCTCTAGGCACTGTCCTCTCTGCAAATCTCTGGGCTCAAGTACGTTGTTCCCCACAGATTTCCGGCACGCATTTGATCACAGCAGATGTTTCTCTGGACACCCTGGCAGTACACAGAACTAGAGCTCTACAGAGAGTCCAGGCAACCCAGATAACACATCCTTTGGCAGAGAAAGAACTTGAAGTTGCAGACCAAAGATAGGCCTGTGCTCTTTCTTTACTTTTTTTCCCTCATCTACAGACTAATTAATGAGACGCCAGGAGAAAAACTACATTTCAATTTGTCATGTGATGCCAATACTGCTCTTGGTACAGCTGTGGATGCATGTGAATACTGCATAGATCTGGACACATAGATCTGGAATGAACAGAAGGCAATAGCTCATGCATTCCTGATAGGAGAGCCTAACCTTCCAGAGGCATCGCTGGGCTGCCACGCGTGAGCCTCGGTCACTTATGCGTCCTGGCCCTGGCTTCCCACCTTTACCAGCGGGCGGCCACGGAACTAACTGTGGTGCTTTCATTCCAGCCTCCCCACACTGACCTCCGGGGACAAACTGCAGTTCTTATACTTAGTAAGTATGGAGTGTCCTGTGGGAAAATCTTATCTTTTAAAAAGTTTATTTCTCGATCACTAAATTCTCAAGACATTTAAACATTTATTCCAATGGTTTCCAGTTGATATTTATATAAGTGAATAATTTTATCATAAAAAAATTGAACATACTCATGCATAGGAATTGTTACACAAGTTTGGAAAAATACATGTTAATATTTTTAGCAAATATGTTTACTAAATACTTCTTACCTGACTGAAAATGAGGGAAATACCCCAAGATTTTGCCCTGAAATGCAGATTAAAAATCATCAGACATAAAATACTTTTGTTGAAGTAAAATTAAAAGTAAAAAATTACATACTTTCCAAATTGTCTATTGGCTCCATTTTCTCCATGTTTTCCTATTTTTAAACAGTCTCTCAAAGGAATCTGGATAAAATTGAAAGGAAAGATTAGAAAAACAAGCAAAGATAAAAATATGCACACAATTAGGAATGTTTCTGCTCACATTCAAAACGCCTTTACCTTAAGAATGGGCTGGGATATAGCATCTGGTTCAAAAATCACTGATTTTGAACATATTTTTAAGGAGCCTCTGATTTTCCTAGGAGCCAGAGGAGAAGAGATTATTTGAAGAACACCAGGACAATCACAAAAGTTATTTATTTTAACTAGAATGTGGATTGCTAAAGTGTCAGCTAATAGAAGCTTGACAGCTGGGAAAGGGCACAGCAGAATGAAAAAAGCCACCATGTCCCCATATCTCCACACTGAAACGTCACATGCTGAAGTTCTGGCTTTGCTTGTCGAGTGCAGCTCCATAACCCCATTAATTATTATTCATTACTATGACTACCATTATTATTATTTTGAGTCTTTACAACTGCTCTCCAAAGAAACTAAGGCTCAGAAGCACTGACACATGCTAAATCTGTGATGTTTTCAGTATATTCATTGGCTTTTCACTCTCTCAATCTGGAAGAACTACTCAGAAGACAATACTAAATGGGTACAATTAATTAACTAAATCCATTGTTTTTGTTTTTGTTTGTTTGGGTTGGTTTTGTTTTTCTTTTTAAAAGCACAGAAAAACTAAGTTTGAATTTTACAGACAAAAATACCATAAACAATGATTTTGAGGGATTCAGGGAAAAAAATCTATTTCATGGCAGTAAGCAATTTTTTTTCAAGTTCTGATCTAAACATGCTGCTTTATTCAAAAATATGGAACGCTTCACGAATTTTGCATGCTCTCCTTGCACAGGGGCCATGCTAATCTTCTCTGCATCGTCCTAATTTTAGTACGTGTGCTGCCAAAGTGAGCATGGCAGTAAGCGATTGTAAAGCCTGTGTCAATGTGATATCACATAAGCAGATGTGGGGCTGACCACTTCCTTACTTTCTTAGGACATTCATATGGCTTTACTAAGTTTTGAAAATTATATTCAAGTGACTTTGAGGCTGTTAAGTTGGCCAATATACATCACCTTTACTTTCTTTTATCAGTAATGAAACCAAGACAACAACTTAGTATGAAGTCAGGCATTTATATACAAGTACAATTTTTATGATCTCACACTTTTTCTCCCATTTTCATGTCCGTGCATGTGTGTGGGGAACATCCATGTCCGTGTGTGTGTACATGCATGTGGAGGGCTATGGGTGATGTTACACCTTGCTCTTTGAGGTACGGTCTCCCCACAGCACCCAGAGGTCATGGATATGGTTAGTTTCACTAGCCAGCTTGCTCTAGGGAAACCGGCTCTCCTGTCTTCTAGGGCTGGAATTGCAGGCACACTGGCACAATGGGCCACTAATTGACATGGTTCTGAGGGTCTGAATTCTAGTCCTCAAGAGTGCATGATAAACGCCCTGACCAGTGAGCCATCTGCCCAGCCCTTGCCTCCTTTAAAACCATTTCAGTGGCATGTGGATACTTTTCCAGTCCTTGGTTGGTATCTGGGTGAATGCTCTCACTCCAGTGCTCTGGGGTCACACATGACACTATTTTAGCTGAAGCAACCACAGCTGGCCCTGTATTTCCAAGGTTCTATCTCCATAAACTCAACCAAATCAGATTTTTTTCGTTTTAATTTTAGAGAGTTCCAAAAACAAAACTAGGATTTGCTGTGTGTCAAACACTGTGCTAAATAGATGGGGATGAAGTGCTACGTAGGCTGTTCAGCGCTGCACATAAGCACAGATGTGTTAGGTAAACAGGAAGATGCTTGAAGGTTTGCATGCTAATACTATACCACGTTTTGTAAGGAACCTGAGCATTCAAGGACTTAGGTATTTGTGAGAATCTAAGGAGAAAACCTGTGACTCTACATCTGTATATAACTTAGAAATCTGAAGTTCAGACAGACACAAGCCACTGAGAACTGCAAGCACTAATCTGAGAAGCCCTCCAACTCCCAGAACAGCACTCCGTCCTCTTTATGGAAGGAAGTTTACCGGAGCAGGTAATCTTCACTACTCAATACATGCACTGAATGGGTGATCAGGCCCGTCATACAGAAGGCTATAATTCAGTTTACAACTCTGCTTTCTCATAGGGTTTTGAAAATTTACATGTTTCATGTTAAGTACACGAACTTTTACTATCCAAACTTAACAAATAGTAAGATTTTCTTTAGTAGTAAGACATTTCTAAGTCTAAGCTAACAGAACAGAAAATGCCCGCATACCAAACACCTTCCTTTAGCATTTGCCAGTATGTGGTCATTTTTGCTTCTTATCTGAGCCCCTCCTTAAACCCTGCTGGGCTCCATACAGAACTCTTACCAGAGACACAGCACTCTTTCTTTTATCTTTCTAAATTTTTATTGATTTTTTTTGGGAATTTCACATCATGAATCCCGAGCACACTCACTTTCCGTCCTCCCGGTTCTGCACCCATCCATGACCTCCTCTCCCCTCCAAGAGAAGAAGAAGAAAAAAAAAGTCCAATTTGTGTTGCCCATGTACCCACTGGAGCATGGTCAAACTCCCAGTGTCCAGCCCTAAAGAAAACTGAGTCTTCCGCACATGTACCCCAGCCAGAAACCACCAATTGGGCAGAGCTACACTTCAGTATCCTTACCACAATTTTCAAGCGTTCTCTTCGATGGCGTTCTGTGTAGGCTGTTACTTTTGGAGGTGGGGAGTAGGGGTTGTCACAGAAGCAAGCAGCAATCTTAATAATGGGTCTATCCCTAAAATGTTTTCATTTCATAAATGTATTTTCATAGCCTGTTTACTCAAATCAAAATCCAGAGTCTACATTTACATTACATTTGATTGATGATATACTCTTTCCTTTTTTTTTTTTTCTTCAAGACAGGGTTTTCTGTGTAGCTCTGGCTACCCTGGAACTAGCTCTGTGGACCAGGTTGGCCTCAAACTCATAAAGATCTGCCTGCTTCTGCCTCCCAACTGTTGGGATTAAAGAGTGCACCACCACTCCTGGCTTACGCTTCACGTTTGTTAATATAAAATAATTTCCCCATATCATGATTTCTGTTGTGCCTTGTGCAGTACTAGCACAGAAACCACATTTTCTCGAGGATTCCAGACAAGAGCCCTCCCGCTAAAACAGTGACCTCACGTGCCAGCTCCATAATGTGGCTTCCTGCATCTGTGATATTCCTTTACCATGTTCTTCCTTTAAATTATCCACCAGACTAGAAGAGATTCTGTTGTTTCATCTGACAGTGCCTCATGTGACAGAGAGACACATGGTGCCTTCACAGCAGCAGATACGAGGGACTTGAGGTGAGGTTAATCTTGACATGCCCATGGCAAAGCTTCTCAGTAAATTCTCACCTGATGGTTTTGGCAGCCCTTGAAGATTACGATATACCATGTAATTATGGTACAGTCTCTACAGAGCCAGACGGATGTATCTTTATAGATCACACAGTCACAGAGCAATCGAGCATGGGCTTCATGGAAACAATGGCAGTGGCTGCTCCAAAACAACTGGTCATATACCAGTAAGAGCCAGTGGCCATTCACTGGGTCCAAAGACTGCATGGACTTTGCTGATGCCCTCATATAAATCCATCGCTTCAGAAGGGGGTTAAACTCTCTCAATCCATTGTATTTACTAGCTAGAATTTTTCAATTAAGAATAACTTCATATTAATCAGCAATTTAGTGACACTAAAGTACAATTTGTATAAGAAAAAAATTCAAAGACCAAAAAACATGCTTTGACTCATAGCTTTCAGAATATTGATGCAAAGCAACTTGTCTGTTTTCAAAGGAGGAATTAGTAGTTATGCAGAAAGCAGATCTGGCTCTGGTTCACACTGTAGTAGTTATTACTTCATTTTGAAGGGGCTGACCTTTCTTAACTGCTCCATAGTTTTATGATCATTGCTTCACTACAACCCGTATCAGAGAGCAAGGTGCTCTGTGTGACCAGAGGAATACAGGAGCAACGTAACCAGACAGACCAGAGCCCTGACCGGCAGCCTCACAGGAGCCGCTGTAAGTTATGCCACAGTCTCATCACCTACCTAAGGAAAGAGAAGGGGGAACCCCATTTTAAAGATGACAGGCCTTACAGTCTGTGTGAGGCCAGAGCTGTGTGAGGTTGCTCACCTTTCCCTGGGGCTGCCCTGGTGCTGAACATGGAAGGCTGTGTGCTGTTCAAAGTAGTATTCCTCCAAGTTGAGCAGCAGTAAGGAAAACCTAGACGAGTAACAGAAAGATAGCTTCATGTTGCATCTGGTTTACAGGAATGGAGAAGACTGTGCACACAAAATGCCTGCACCCACATCCCCAGCCCACACTCCCCTTTCCCCTGCCCCCAAAGGAGCCCTTCACAAGGAAGATGCACTCTCCTCACACAAATCCCTAACTGAGTGAAACTGCTTTTGAAGACCTTGCTTTCCACCCCATGGGATTTTCATGTCACTGGCCCCTGATGGCACAAGCCCGTCTTCCCTGCCCCTACCCTGCCACACCTGAAACCATGTCCCACACTGAGTTCAGTTCTCATGACTCCAGTGAGGCAGTGCGCTCTAGGAGGTAGGTGTGAAGATGGCTATAACCACCCTGATGTTTTAGATACCACACGTGCTTAATAAGTAAAACAAGTCAACTGAGTTGTATAGTTCCTTGAGTGTAAGCGCTCTGAAGTTTAACAGGAAGACATGGCAGAAATGTAAAGAGGTGAGGTGGTTTAGGAAAAGGTGACTGATGCTCAAGCCCGGTGACCTGAGCAACCCCAGGTGCCCAGGGAAGGAGATAACTTACTCCTGAGAGCTGTCCACTGACCTCCACACTAGTACCACACTGTGTGCACATACACACCAGTAAGAAAGGAAAGTAATAATTTAGGTGAACGGCCACAGAAAGAAGTATAAGGCCACAAAGTACAAGACACATGCCCCATGAGAAGGGACTACAGACAGCATCTGGAGTCACAGAGAAAGCTTTCAGACAGTGTCAGACTTCAGACCGATATAGACGTTCTGCCGCCCTAAAGGAAGAGATCTAGATTAAATGTGGAGTACACAGGATATTGTTTATTTTGTGTCTTTCTGGATCAAAACTAAGATGTGAATAAAATATTTTTAAATGACAAACCCCAAAGAGGATGGCAGACTAGAGAGCTATCAAAGCGAGGACGAGATGGGAGCCAATCTGTGGGAGGCAGAGAGCAGACAGGAGACTTAGCCGCACTTGGAAATCAGTGCAGATGCTTCCCAAGACAGTTCCACGCAAGAAAACCAACGCAAGCACTCACTCCCCCAAGCACAGTACCTGCGGGTGTCAGCTATCAACAAGCCACTCCTAGATAGGAGCTTCTAATGTGAACGAACAAGACGCAAACAAGCAGAATAACACAAACTGAAGGACGAGAGACAACGCAGGGTCAGAAGAAAAGGTCAAAGACTAATGGATACTGTTATAAAGACAAAACATGACAGTGACAACCAGGCAAGCAGGAAGAATACGGGCCAAGGACTGGAGACAGCACAAGGAACAGAAGAAAAGGTCGAAGTGCTCTAATTAACATCCTTGAGTAATGAGCATCTCCTCATTCAAAAAACAACCAAAAAGCAAAAACCTGACTCATGAAATTAAAATGAATGAGTACAGGAACCAGTTTTGCAGGCTGGGCTTTATTGATCTGGCCTCCATTTTAAAATCTTGTTCTCTGAACAAGAATTAGTCATGAATTCGGTTTAGTATCCAGCATATTAAAAAAAAAAATTAGTCATAAGCTAAGCTTGCCAGGGCATAGCCTAAACTGCTGCTGGGTCCATCTGAATCCAGTACAGTCAGGAGTGTGGGGGCGTTCCTTTGATGTATCAGGTGATGTCCCAGAA